GTTGTAAGCTGCCTTGAGCAGGGTTTGAACTGTGGAAAGGCAGCATACAAATAAAATTATGTATGTAAGGAGACAAGTAGATGCTTGGCTAAAATGCCAGAACTGCCCTCATGCAGGCAACCCCATGGTCAGGTCAAGATGCATAAGAAGATAAAATCTCACCTCCCAATGTGCTTTCTTCCTAATAGGATACACCCCTCCCCTCTCCCCACCCCCTCCAATACAGTGCAGAACTAGCGGTTCACTGTTTAATGGAATGTATCGGAGTGGGGGGAGGTTAGAAAATATTAAAATAAGTTGCATAGGTGAGCACCTCAAGGCATCTGTGTTGGCGAAAGGCTTCTTTCTAGACCAGACCCTTGGGGGGTATTTGGCTCAGGAGAATATGGAAATGTAAACCTTCGAGGTCCAACCTCACCTTCTCTGGGTTTATTGCTTTAAGTGTGTATGTAAGAGAGAGAGTGTGTGTGTTTGACTTGGTCTGGCATCTATCTGTGTGTGAATTGTAGGGAACCAGGAATTCTAAGGTCCCTGGGGTTCTGAGCCAGGGTGGAATCAGAAATTACACAGATGGTGGATTATATCTCATCCCAGGACAATAGTTACCAACATTGAAGGTATAGCAAATAGACATCATTTCCTATGGTGTACACATACATTTTTGTTCTGCTGACACTATAATCTCCAACCCAACAAGCTTTATGTGATTACGTGCAGCAACAAACACAAGTTTACCCATGGGTGCTTAGTTAGGAATCTGTGGCTGAACACTCTGACCTCTACATATGTATGTTTGCAAATGTGTGTTTGTCCCAGGCCCACATCATATCTCTAGTTGCAATCTACAAAATATACAAGATGTGAAGTGATATGAGATAATGGCACATACAAAACTTCATGGCCCCTCTTTTTGGGGGGAAATGGTATGTGAAACTTTTTATAAATTAGAAAGGTTTACATAGAAACCACAATACTTTCTTCATACAGTCCTAACTTTTTCGAACAATAACACTCAAACTAAGAATTGCTTGTCTCCCTCCAGTCTGAGAGTGGATTTTGGTTTGGTCTGCCACTTTTCATGATTCCAAGTATAGCGAAGAAGATTGCATAGACAATTTGTAAGAAGAGAGAGAGAGAGATTTTATTAATTCTGTGTGTGCAACCAATAAGTGTGACATAACTTGAAGAAGATAAGTTAAGGAGCATCCTTTTAAATATTCACAATAGCTAATAACAAAAACCAGTCTTTTCATGAAATCTAATATGCTCTGACAAGTAGAGCATAATAACTCCCTATTCAAACAATGTTAGCAATATTTTCCGAGAAAAGAGCACACATATACACAATACTACATTAAAAATGTACATTTAGACATTTAAGGGAGAAATCCTACTTGTAAACATTTAAGGGAGCAATCTAGTGCACAAGAAGCTGGTGTGAAGGAAGCCTAGCATAAGATAATCTGGTGAAATGTACACCAGATACAAACTCAATCCAGGAGCCGGCCAAGGATGCCTGAAGTGACCTAATTCTAGCAGAGGGAAAACATGCTTTTAAAATAACGTTGGGGGGCTTTTTCACACTTCTGCTTGTCCCATGCCTAGAAATTACAGGTATGAGCAGTTTCCCACTGCTTCTTTCCCAGGGAATGCCTGGAAAACCCCCAAATTGCTGTTTGCTCCAGTTGAACTCTGAAGAGTAGTCTTTGCCTGCTGTAAGCAGCAGGGCAAGAGGAGGTGTGGATAAGCCTGGAGTGATATCACCCCTTTTGCCATCTTAATTTATGTCAGGTTTCCAGGTCACAAGACTTGGCTGAACAGGATTAGGATCCAGCCTATGTCCTCACCCCAAACATGTCTGCTGAGAATTAAGCCCAACTGAGTTCCATTAGGTTTACTCATGAGTAAGATGGTATAGAATTGTTGATCAAATTTCTTTATCTGCCTCATCTCAACGGCACATAATCTATAATTATGCTCTTACTTTATCCCTTTTTCCTCAGCCCAATGCAAATAAAAAGTGACTTACATGGCTTCTGGGAGATGCTTGGACTCTGACTTTGGTGAATCTCCAGAGGAAGGATAATATATTATTGAAGTCCAGCCAAAAAAGCACATTTCTGATTTGTCCAATAGATAGCAAAATAAAGGAGCATTTTTTTATTTATTGTTATAGCTGTTTTCAATGTGCGCAATGCACTTTCACATACATAATCCCAGTTAATCCTTACCATTGTTCCTGTAAGGCTGGTTAGTATTCTTATCCCCATAGTGCAGATGTGATAAGGCTGGGTTCCTACTTTAGGTGAGATTTGAACCAGGGTGCTCCAAGTTCATGGCTCGCACACTGACATGTGATGCTCTGTTTGCCACATTTCTAATAGAAAAGCAAGGCAAGAGACTTCAAGGGGTTGAGAGCCATTAAGCACTTCGTCTTATTTCATAAACTCTGTCCAGTCCTACAGTGCACACAATCTTTCTGCAAAGTGCAGGACTGCAGGCTGGGCTGGTTTGTGGTGTGTGGGCAAATGGCTCAAGGTTCCCCATATCCCACTCTAGAGCCTCAGTCTAGATTGGAGACCTGTGTTGTTTCTGAAAGAAAAATAAAGCACTCAAGAGCAAACAACACAGTTAATGTCACATGACATCTGGCCCTTGGTTCAGCAGGTAGACTAAAAATATTGTCCTGCATACACATGGAATATAAAGTTGGTATTTTTTTTTAAAAAAGGAAAGGGCAGGGAAAGCATCTTAACAGAGATATCCAACACCCACCCACTCCAATCCAATCCACCATGTTGGAATGGGTTTACATGGCCAACTCTGCCCTGGCCAACTCTTGCCAGCCTCTGCAACTAGAAGCCCTGCTGGTGAGGGGCAACCAAACATGTCTGCCCAAATGGTGGATAGGCAGAAGGTACGACCAGTATTAGGCTGGGGGAACACCCCAAATGGGCATTTGGGGTGCTAACAGTGGCACATAGTGGCACATGGCACAGTATCCATTGGATCCTGAGCTCTTGCCCTTGTCTGAGTCCTGGCACAGTGAATGGATCCCCCACCCCCACCCGTCACCTTCCACCCTGACTAGCACAAGTGGCAAGACAGTAGCTGTGGCAGTTTCCACACCAATCCATTAAGCCTTGCTAATGCTGACCAGAGGTTAGGATTGCAGCCTTCAGGAGTTGGGAAGCCAAAAAGTGACACAAGTCAGTGTTCATAATATGGATATTGCTTCTCTGTACAAAGAAAGTAAGCCAAAGCTTGCTGCGTTTGTGCTGTTTCTTTGCCCCTTGTGATAAGTAAGTTAAATTTGATGCCATATATGTAAGTTTTTCTGACTAAGACTGAAATCCTTGATATTAAGGCCCACTGGGAGTTTCTTTCTTTTTCTTTTTAAAGCTGCCTTTCTGAACTACTAGAATATATCCCAGCAATGACACAATTTATTCTACATATCCTTTAATCCTTCCCATAGTGCCTGGAAAAAACCCAAAACCTAATTTATTCTATGTAATGCTAGTAGAGAATAAGAGGAGCACTTTTATTTGGTTTTTCAAGTAATCTGATCTATCTTGCGTTATACATCGCAAAGTGGTTTACGTAGTTCTGTCTAGATAGATATCTCCTCTCCTCCAGCAGATTGCAGGCAAATTGTTGTTACATGTGTCTGTTGCTAAGAGTTTTTGAAATATTATGTATTGATGAAATGTTAACTACAAACTAATACTTCTTAGAAGCACGTTTTCATGTTTAGATAACCCACATGCATACCTTTTGCCTTGCTATGTCACATTTCATCTTGCTACCCTAAACTACTAACAATTTCAGAATTTTATTATTGTTGTTTAAAAATAAGGATACACTAGCAAAGTTGTGAGATATGGTTCTCAAATAAGTTGCACAGGAAGGCCTGGACTAAATGTTCCCTCCTTCTGACCCATTCGTATCTGCCCAGGCCATTTTCTTTGGTAGAACATGCCATGCAATTCAAGCTATCCCATTGTAAGAGGCTGGGAAGCTCACTACCAGATGACGTGCCACTGAAAGAACGTGGCCAAAAAATCAGGAAGTTTTCCACAGGGATGCCAGTTCCCATGATAAATCTGTATACAACCCAGACAGGTGTAGCTGGCAAGTAAAGTTGAATCGGGTTCAGATCCCATACGCTCAAATCTGTCTCATGTGGAGTCAGTCCATTCACTTTTTTTTGCAAAGCCCGGTCTCCATTGACTGGTAGTGACTCCACAGGCTTTGTGGAAGGAGTCTTTCCACTACCAGGTGTTTTCTGCGTCAAACAAGTTGCCCCCATGGATTGGGATCCATTATGTAGGTTGTCTCCACCCAGGAAGTTAAAAAAATCTTTTGAGGGGCAAACCTGCCCCAGTTCCATTTCCTGCCTTAGCCACTGGTAGGAGGTTTCTTGGGAGGGATTTCCACCCTCTTTGTTTCCTGGATCCCCTTTACGCTCTCTAGCTGCCATCCGTAGCAGGTTTTCCTGGTCTGCCTCCCTCCCTCCCTCTCAGACATAGCTGTCAACTTTTCCCTTTTCTTGCAAGGAATCCTATTTGGAATAAGGGAATTTCCCTTTAAAAAAGGGACACGTTGACAGCTATGTTCTTGGATCTGTTTTTCTAGGCCTCTTTTTCTGACCTGCAGCCCTTGGGAGGTCTCTGGGCGTCTGGACTTGGGAGGGGAGCCTATGGAAGGGCTCTGTTAATTCCGCACTGCCTGCGTATGAGCAGGTACTGTCCAGCCAAGGGAGGAGACAGGTACTGTCGAAACTGTTAAGACCAGGTGGAGTTAATAAGTGTGGTAAATAAGTGAAGTTGCCCATGACAACATGCTTTCTTTCCTTTCCTGGGTTGCAGCAAAGAGGTGATGGTTGGGGGGTGGGGGGGCGGGGAATGACAAAAAGGCAATAAGATACATTTTAAAAGAGAGTTCCAGTAGGTAAAAGAAGAGCACTAATCCAGCGTGTCCTGTGCTCTTCTTTGTAGTCCCAGCGCCGTGTTACGTTTCACCTCCCCGATGGCTCCCAGGAAAGCTGCAGTGACAGTGGTCTAGGAGATCATGAGCCTGTGGGTAGTGGTACCCTGATCTCACACCCTCTCCCTCTGGTTCAGCCGCAGGACGAATTCTACGACCAGGCCTCACCGGACAAGAGGACCGAAGCGGACGGCAACTCCGATCCCAACTCTGGTGAGTTGCATTTTCAAGCCTTCCCTGCCCACCCATCCCGACATGGCTTTTTTGTTTTGCTTCTTCTATATAGGTAGGCCTGTATTGTTTTGTGTGTGCGTCCTTCGCCTCTGTGGCGGCATATAAAATGGCACGGAGCATCAGGTGTAACGATGATGGCTTGCGCTTCTCAGCGAAATAGGTGGAGTCGCTGCGAAACAAGCAGACATCTAGGAAAGGCAGAAGGAAAGGTGCAGCAACCGTATTTTCATTATTATTGTATTCAGACACAATTATTTTCTGTGGTGTGGTTACTGAAGGTCCTTTCACTAGCAATGGTACCACGTGCATTTTCTCTCTTTTTAGATTTCCCCCAGCCTATGAATATGACACGTGGTTCATAATATAGGAAGCAGACTAATTTTAAAGAAAATAGTTTTTCTGACTCCAATCAAAAGCTATGTACTTCGATTAGAAGTGTAAAAAATATAAGTAACTAAAGGGCAATCACTTTACAGTGATGTTTTGAAATTATTATTGTTACAATTAATTTGCTAATTGCCTTTGAAGACTCCATATCCAGGTGATTTACATGAAGCAATTAAAACAATTAAAAATACAAAGACAACCAATAGATTTAAAACAAATGGACAGTTGTGGAAAAGACCCATCTATCCAGCTGGGAAAGCCTGTTGTAACAAAAATGTCTTCAGCCATTTCCAGAAAGTGCAGTCTTGGATCTCGACAGGACTGCTATTCCACAGAACAGGGGCAGCCACACTAAAAGCCCTGCTGTCAGTTACTGCAGAGCTGGCTTAGATAACTTTGGAATTTGCAGGAGAGACTCCTGCAGACACAGCTGGGTGTAGAAGGAATAAAGCTGTCTCTAAAGAAACCTAGTCTTGAGCTTTATAGGGACATATATGTTAGTATCAACACCTTGAGCTTGGCCTGGTAACATTGGCCTTGATAATACAGAATTGCACATAGCCTGGAATGTGAAGAAATAAAAAATGCATGTACAGGAGCTCATATGTGTACTCACTATACTTTACTTATTTCCTACATGGCTTCACCTTTTCCTGCTGTTGCACTAGGGAAGAGTTTACTGAAGAGTTTACAAGTTTCCAAAGTAGCATGTTGTGTGTCGGGGGGGGGGCTACTGTTGTGAGAAGCTGCTTTTTTACTGCAGACATAAAAGCTCCAAAGCTCTTTGATGTTATAGATTTGGCTATCGATTTCAAATGCTCTGGCAGACGTGGAGGTCTGGTTCCTGAGAACAACTGTGGTTTTTGAAACTGTGAAATAATGCACCTAGACACATGGTGAGCATATGGAGAATTGAGATCAATAAGGTGAAAACCTAAGTCTGCAGTCCTAAGCAGACTTACTAAGGAGTAACTGTTGTTCAACTCAGTGGGATTTACATACGATAAACATGTTAATATCCTGCTCTTGAATTCTTGTAGTGTTGTTAAATGGCTTGATAAGACAATTGTTCCTGCAGAATTAGGGCTGGATTTACCATAGGTTTGATGAGGCCCTGAACTATTGAAGGTAATGGGACCCTTTATACATCCAGCTGTCCTCTGTTCCGCTGTTTTTTGTGTTGAATATATGCTATATGCAGGACCCATTAATTACACCATAGGAACCCACACAACACAAAAACACTGTTGCTGTATGTAGGTTTTATTTTATTTTATTTGTTTTTTATCTTATATTTTGGAAATGTACATCCACTTTTTTCCCGTTAGTTTTTTTGGGGGGCCCAAGAGAGTGAGGCCCTAAGCTATAGCTTGCTTAGCTTATACGTAAATCCGGCACTGTGCAGAATGTGGTCCAGAGTGGGGGACATCCTCAGGATGTTGTCAGACTACAATTCCCAACCTCCCTGTCCACTGGGGCTTATAGGAGCCGGGGTCCACCCTGGAGGGGCATAGGTTCCCCACCCTTTGAGGGGACAGGCAATGGAGTCCCCCCAACCCCAGGCGACCCCCGGGTGGAATAATGACTCAAGACAACATGCTATGGGGTTAAAATTGGCCACAACCTTATTAAGTTTCAGATGTAGGGAGAACCTGGCTCAGGTATTGGGCGTTTATTCTTCCCCGTCCCCAGCCGGGGATCTGGGAGATTTCAGGGGTATCCAGAATGTTGGGCTCGGCTGGCTCTGGAGAACATATGTTCAAGCAGAGAGCCCCCCCCCCATTTTGGCACCGTTGGAGGGGAGAGCAATGACAACCTCTCAGCGTATGGCCAATGCCTCCCCTCAAGACCCCTTTAACGGGGAACCCTGGGATCACAACCGCAAGGGGGGCGTGGGTTACCACTTACCCCCTCCCCCATTTAGGAAGATAGACTAAAGGATTCCACTCAAGGCCTGAAACCGCCAAAGTTGTGACATTTGGTATGGGAAAGGCAAAACCTGCCAGTGCAGGAAAATTCCTTTCCGGCCCTTCAACTGCGACCCTGACGTAGCAGCGCCTGCGTACCTGTGGAGAAGAGGTTAACCTGCAAAAGAAGACTTAACTGAGGGAGGGGAGGGTGGGAGAAGCTCTGGAGCCGACTGCCGCTTCGCAGGTAAGATTCACCTTCTGTTGTGTGGGCAGGACCGTCCCTCCCCTTACCTGGCTGTTCCCCTGGTAACACCTCCCCAGGCGGAATTGGGCGATTGGCTGAGGTAGGCGGAGACCTCCAGGTATCCAGCCTGGGGAGGATGAAGCCAACCTGAACTACCAGGAGTCACACTGGGATCCGGGGGGCTGCACGCAAAAGGCGCCCCCATTTGATGTGGGGAGCGGTCATTGTGCAAATTGGCACACGGTATACAAAAAGGGGCAGCAGCCTTGTGCTAGCAGAAATAAAATATCTCTTCCCTGTGCCCACCCCCCAGATGCTTCAAGGAAGGGAAAGCTGCGGGTTTTGCAGCTAAAATAAGAGGGCTTTCGTTTCAGGTTGAGAGAGAGGAGGATAAGTTGGAGGAAGTACTGTATGATATGGCAAGAACACATTGGGAAATCTAATGTCTAAACTAGGGTGGAACTCAAGGGGGTGTATAGTTATTAATATTTTATGTGTATTAATTACCAGAAAACAGCATAAATATTTAGAATTTAAAAAATTATTTTTATCAAAAGATTGTATGTATACACACCATCGCTGCAGCAGACTTCAGAATGGCTCATTCATTCATTCATTCATTCATTTTGGCCATATGTTTGCTTGGCCTCTGACCAAGGTGGTAAAAGCTGGATAATGGCCCACAAGCAATTTCTTTCTTTCTGAGTTACAATTCCACCCTTGGTCTCAACCACCTCTAGATGTTATTAGAATAATAACCCAAGAAAGTGGAAGCAACACTTTCTAAATGGTGGTAACCTTATTTAAATGCAAGTAATTAAATTGCCAGAATGTCAATAAAGTCTATGGATTCCCAGGCAAACCCTATTATCTCTTTAAGCAACTTAGATGGAACAATCCAGTATTTGTGTTTTTATGTACTAGAGGTGACGGTTTAAGCGACAAAAAGACAGTCTTGCAGCGGTGTTACCTGTGTACACTTTCCCTTTAGCCTTGATGGCACAGAGTTGAGTACTGGCTTTAACACTGTGTGACAAATCCAGAAATAAATTTGAGTCCTCAGCAAGGAATGGTCCCAATTGCTGTAGTCCTTTTCTGAAGATGCTGCATGTGAGTACTTCTGCGTTAGAGAAAAAATTCCAAATGTGTCATGTAAAATGAATTAGAACATGTAATATTAATCACAAATGATGGACTCTTTGCTAATATAGTTTTGCTAAAAGACTAATCTGAACAGACAGATGCTTTTGACTCACATAAGGATTAGGGAATGGGAGACGTCTAGGTTTTAGGTGTGCTATCTTACTACACAGTGATACCTCAGAAGCAGTACCCACAGGGTGGGGAAGGGCACTATGATTTGTGGATTTTAATGTATTTTTAATCTTTGTTGGAAGCCGCCCAGAGTGGCTGGAGAAACCCAGCCAGATGGGTGGGGTACAAATAAATTATTATTATTATTATTATTATTATTATTATTATTATTATTATTATTATTATTCCTACCATGTCAGCCCTCTAATCTATGTTGACTTCACCATTTTTTCACAATCTGCCATTCAAACTATCTAGAGATTACAGATCCCATATTCTGTATCAACACATCCATGATGCCTCAATAATTTCCATGCCACCATGTCCTTAAAATAAGCTGAAAATTAGTGTAGCTGTACTCACATTGGTGCTAATATCAGCACAGAAAAAATGTATGCTGAGGAGCTGGAATAAATTTGAAATTCTGAAATTTCAAATAATTGAATGCAATGTGCTCTTGAAGCAGGACGACAATTGAAGTTTCATGAATATGCAAGAGGGAGATACTGATTTCACGCATTCATTTATTTTTAAATAGCTGAAATTTGGTTCGTTCTTTTCAATTTCTGAAATGGCGTTAGCAAGTCCCCAGCTTGCTGTAAAGGTTCTCCACTCTGTCTTGAACTCATTTGTGTCAGGAAAGAGTTTCTTTCAGCTGACAAAATGGATTCTGGTCCACCAAAATGTATGTCTTTGTGTTGCCTTGATACAGTGATCTTGTTATCTGATGGTATAACCCCTCTGGAATATAATCCAAAGGTCAAAGACCTGCCCCTTTGCTCCCCCCCTTTACTCTATTAAATGCTACTTATACATTTAAGTGGCATTTAACAAAGTACAATGGTTTGTTCTTCAGTATATGGAACAATATTTTAATGCTATGAACTGAGAAGCTTTAAATGGGAAAAGCTATCCAACTTCCACCCTTTTTCTTTTGGTTATTTTCTTGTGCGCTCATTTTTTTGTTTGTTATAGGCAAATTCTATTTTCCCCCCTATCTAACAAGCAATCACTCTGCACATTTTCTGTGGCAGATGCTTCAAGGTTTATGTAGGTGTGAGTGTATGTTTTAAGTTGGTATGGAAAAAATTGTTTTCATTTCAGAAACAAAGAACAGGGGCATT